TGTCACTGGACTGAAAAATGTGACTGTTGTTATCCCTTTAAACTGAAAGTGGATATAGTCTATTTTGGCAGATGTCTTCCAACAGATGGGTGTCTATGGTCTTTATAAGAGCTGTCTGCTGTCTGTGATTCAGACCGCCTAAGGAATGCCACGAGCGTGGAGCAAATGGACAGCAAGTCTGGGAAAGGACTTTATTGTGGTTTAGAAGCTCTCAACTCCTAAATGAATGAACAAGTTCTTTTTTTCAAGTGACTCTGCCAGCATTTCAAAACTATCACTGAGAATTGCTTGATGCCTTCTGAAAACTAGGGGCTTTCTGCTGATAACTGTCCACTGGTTAAGTCTTCAAACAGCAGCAAATCGTGTGGACCAGGGCTTAGAGCCTTGGTGCATCAGTTGCTGGTGGGACTCTGCCCATCGAGCCACCGAGAGAGCGTCCACACACCCATCCTGCACTGTCAGTTCGTGGCAGCTGTGCCCATGGTCTCCTAATGGAGCCTGCATGTTCTTTTGAACAGGAAATGCTTTGTAACACAACTTGCCTGTGGGCATTTACTGCACCAATTACAGATTACTGAGCTTGAGAACAAAGAGGTGCCAGTGGAACTATGGTTTTAATCACTCGATTCATTTTCTTCCTTCCTCCACTGCTGATTTTAGATGTATGGGTTTTTCTTTTTCTCGCTTTGTTTTCTTTCGCATGTTTTTAGGCAGCAGGACAGTCACTCAGAAAGTCTACTGGGGGATGAGCGGCCTTGAAAAGGGGCTGAATTTTCGAACAGTGACACAACACAGGAGACCTGCTTCTTGATATGGCAATCTTTCTCCTTCCACCTTTTTGTTCTTTTTTCATATCACACCCAGCAAAGCAGGACTCCGGCATGTGACTGCAAGACTTCAGTCCTAATGCGACACAAACACAACAGCAGCAATCCAAAAATGAAGCATGCAGTGTGCTCTGTGAGTGGTGTAAGGTCCCAGCAGAGAACAGAAAATCTAGAATAAAGTCAGTCAGAGCATCAGGAACGAGTCTGATGAATACACAGCTTTGCTGGTGTGTTTGAGCAAAATGCTTCGGAGAATGAACATGCTTCACATTTGGTAAAACCCTGTCTGAGCAGAAATGACCACACCTTCTATGAAAAGTAGTTCTAATTAGAAACAGAGCATGGCTTTTTATGATGTAAATTGCAGCCCTCACTGAACCACAGCTCATTTGAAACATGCAAATTCACTGCTGTCTAAAACACGGGGAAACAAGGGCATTTCCCTCTCTGCCTTGGATCACTCTTTTTCTCTGCATTTGTCGAGTGCAGACGCACGATGAAGACAACTATAAATCCTCCAACCACCTTCTGCGAAGAGAGAGAAAAGCTCAGAAAAAGATCCTCCTGTCCATGGAGGAAAGGAAAGAATTGCATTCGATTTCAGACCCTGGATTTTCTGGTAGTTGAATGACAGAACACAAAAAGAAAAAGCAGAGATCTTACACACTCCCAAGTGAGGGCAATGGTTACTGTGGTGGGGACGAACACATTGCTCACAGCAAAGGGGAAAGTGCCGGTGAATTACAGGCGTGCCATTGCACACATTGCAGACCAGTCTTCTAAGAACTTTCTTCTGCATGTGAAATTTTCTCTGGAACGCATGAGTTGACTATGAAACACCTCTGCCAATCATCATCTGACTGCACTACACAAGCATCTGCCTCGCTTCTCTCCATTAAAGATTACTGGTGCACCAAAAATCACTTAAAGATGCTATATCATGCAGACAGCTCTGAGCGTCAGATGTGGTTTGATAGTTACCATCTGAATAATGACAACCACTTTTCTTTGTAAAGCAAAAAGCACACAGTGTGACAGCTAAAGCTAAAAGAAGGACTAAATCCGGGGCAGGCAGCTTGATAAAACAACAGCTACATGTCCCTTTATTTGTACATGGAAAGACCTAACACCACATTTACACTGAACCTCTGCAGGACACTTTCAAATCATGTGGCAACTGAATGCTTTGCCTGTGATACATTCACCCTCCTCCTGCTCTTCTCACACCATCCCAGTATCTCTGTGTGACAGATGGGAGCTGTGGCAGGCAGCTGAGCAGCTTCCCAGGGCTGTGCAGGAAACCTCTGGTTCTGCAGCAGGAGCACAGCCAGTGCCCCAGGCCACAGCCATGCCTGCTCTCCATTCTGCTCTTGTGCAAGTCAACACCAATACGTTTTGGACGGTGTTGCAAATAATCAGTTTTTTACAACTCGTACAGCAGTGGTTGGTTTTGGTGATGAGCTTTACAAAATTGAGGCCTTGGCTGAAGCTCAATCTTCCTACTTTCTTCACCTGCATTTGAAACAAATCGCATCTTGCCAGCATCTCCTGATGTCCCCTGAAGGTTTTGCCGACCACTTATCTTCACTCCCAATGTATTTACAAGAGGAATGAATCTGCGAGGCAAAGATTTTGCTGCTTATTTTCCACGTGCAGTCCCTTCCTCTGGGGATTCTTCTTTACACTAGTTCATCAGAAAGCTATGTGTGTGTCTGAATGTACATATATATGTGTAAAATAATTGTGTTAAAGTACTTGTGTTATCTACGAGATGTTCTTCCCTGGTGACATCCAGGAAGGCTCAAACACTGGGATTCTGTACTCCCTTCTGAGAGGCGGCAGCTTCAGGAGTGAGAACTGATGGAGCAGGGGCTGTCCCAAGGCACACAAGCAGTTCATGGCAGAGCTCAGAATAGAAGCAAAGTCCAGAACATTAAGAGTGTGTGTTAAGCATGAAGACAGAAGACAAGAGGTGAGAAGAAGAGGTCAGAGATGCAGGAAGAGTCGAAAGCTGGACTGTCAGCAGAAATATGGAGAAAGAAGAACAAAGAGGAGGGAGGAGGAAGATGGGGGAAGGGAAGAGGAGAGAAGGGAAGCGAGAGACACCAGGACATTGCCTAACATGTGAACATCAGCGACAGGGCAGCGCGCTCGTGCCAAGCCAGGCTGAGGAACCATCACCTCAGTGTGTGTCTGTGAAAGATCCCAAGACCTAACGGCTCACTTTATCTCAGAAGAGTTTTTTGGATAAAAGGGTTTTGAGGGCAAAGCCTCCATAATCCTTTGGGTTTGGTTTCTTTTAATACTATAAAGCACAAAAATAAACTTTCTAGCTAGGAAAAATATGGCTTTTGTTAAGTTCTGAGTCACTTTTCCCCAGCAGCAAAACAAAGTGGCTTTTCAATTCAAGTCCTGAACATTTCAGAATCAAATGTTTTGCAAAGTCCTAAAGTAAATCACAGTTTTCCAAGACACACTTCTCTAACTGATGTGAACTCACTGAAGTCAGTAAGGAGCTGGATGTGGCCAACATCACCTTGCTTGATTTGTGCTGATGAATTGATATATTAATCTCTAACTCTCAGACAGAAGCCTGGAATTTCATTTCTAACTTGCTGCTATTCTGCCCAATGGCTCCTTTTAGAACAGAGGTCAAGTGCATCCCTTGTGAGCCATGCTGCATTTACATGCTTCTGGCCTGATTCAAAATCCACTGCAATTAATGTGGTCTATTTTGGGAGTCCATTTAAGTGGACCTGGGCTCGACTAACGTTTACTAGCTTTAACTTCATCTTTCCTTCTTTCTGTTTCTCTTACAAGGTTTATGCCAAGTATTTCTCATATAAGAGCCCCTCAGCAAGTCATATTAAAAGTGCCTTACAACACAGCATTCATTTTTATCATCAGAAAGATTATCTTGCTTTGCTATCATACCCCACTCTCTGAACGGGAAGTGGATTTTCTTAACTGTTTTCATGCAGGTCTAGCAAATTTCCTAAATCATATTCACTGTTACAGCCCAACTTGACACTTCTTTTCAGACAAGGAGATTGGTAAAAACTCTACAGATTTTACTGTCACAGCACCAAAACTGTATCAATTATATTTATTTCAAACAGAGACCAATGGAGTAAACAATACACCTTCTACCTGGTCCGCTAAAGCAGCAAAACTGTGTATGACACAGCCACAGAGCACTCAGTACCTCAACCTGGGAAAAAAATTCTTTCACGTGCACAGTTCTACAACTCTAGGGGGCTACTGAAGGAGAAATCTCAAATCATGCATGCAATTACCCAGACTGAAAGGATAAAAGCAGTGAATACATGCAAAAATCAAGTCTTTACTTTGTAAGAACACTCTATATTAGCAGCAATACATCAAGCAATCTCACTCTGCTCCAGTAAAATCAATGTAAGTTTCTCTAGTGGCCTTCATGATTGCAGCAGCCAGCAGCTAGTATTAACTTTGCATTGATTTCCTCTTGCAAGGAACAGTCCTACTATTTTAATAAAAAAACCAACCAACCAGTTTGCCAGTATCTGCCTACCTAAGAAAAAGCAGGATATGTTCAAAGAAGGCTTTACTCTAACTTATATTCATTCCTAAAGGCTAAATCTGCAAAGCTCATGACAAAGAAACAGCATTGTTTTACTTATCAATGTCCTACTGTTCATCTAGAACATCTGCAATAGTTTTGCCTGCAGCACAACCCTATTCATTACAGGCCTTGATAGACTGTTCAATGGGGTTTTTTTGGTACAAAATGTACAAAAGCATTTTACAGAGTGGACTTTGCCCTGATATGAATAATAAAAAATAATTTAAAAGTGCATTTTGTTTCAATTTCTCCATTTTCCAAAGTAATGCTTGGCAAACGGAAACAAAATGGCAACAGCTTGAAACCTGACAGCTCACTCCATGTCACAAAGCAAGACAGAGGGTTTCTGCTGAACGCTGCTTTCTGCACAGTAGCCACAGCACATTGCCATCTACCAAAAATGCAATTGATTAAAGACAAAAAGCATACTTATATGAGCAAACAGCAAATACACACACTCATCAGAAGGAGGCCTCGTCATCGCTGTGCCAAGGAACAGGTGGAATTTACAAGCCATGAACTTCACCCCTCCCTCCAACCATCGGACTGTACAAGAGAAGAGTGGTGCTTACCATCATCCAGGTACGCTTGGTCCAAATTCTGCTCCTGCTTAATAGTGACTCCAGCTGGTAACACTTCTTTCTGGTCGCTGACTGGTTGTCCATTTTTGGCTGCCCGCTGGCCTGAAGCTGTCTGCTGCTGGATCACGGTAGGATATGAACTCGGACTTAATCTCTGTGCTTGACTGACTTGGGGCTGGCTTGGTCTTGCAACACTGGACGTAAAATTTTCACAGCACATAATGTGCTGAAATTCCTGGTGACTTCCACACCTCAGCTGCTGGTTGGTTGGAGAGTAGTGAATCACTGGAGAAGATTGCTGGTTGCCTGGAGAGTGGTGGAGCACTGCTGAAGTTTGGCCTGGGGAACCAGCATGCACTAGCACTGACCTATGGGCATCTGAAATTGCAACCGGTGTAGCCATCAAACCGGACTGCTGGTAGCCCAGCTGGCTTGGGCTAAGGCTCTTGCTTCTTTGGTATACTACTGCAGCTGGATTCTGCTGATGGTATCGAGAATCAGGAGAAGAAAGGCCCGAGCGCAACTGCTGGCAGGGAGCCATAGTGGCCACAAGACAGGAAGGGGATTCGGTGACCATTGTGTGCTGTGAATAGTACGGCTGTGTGACTGTTCCCAGACCACTGTGTACTGTATTGCAGATTAGGGCTGGATCATAGTCATCAATGGGCTCTGTTTTGATTGATGGTACTACAATAAAGCATGCAAAGGATGTTATTCGTAACAAGCTGATGAGAAACAGAGAAGTTTTCCTTGAAGTAAAAAGAGATTTAAACCATTTACGAGATCTACACATGCAAGCTCATATCACACAGGCATTAAGTTTAACAAAACATATATATGCAATGGTGGGAGGCTCTCACTTGAATGCATTTTGAACTAAGATGTTCCAGAAAGTCTTTGATCAATCATTTAACCACAGATTTCTGAAAATTGAAAAATACCGTATTTTAATTCACTTAAGAGCCATTCTGGAACATTAGCAAAGTAAGAAGCACCACAGATAGGTGTCCCACGTAATATTTGCATCCGAAAGGAAGAGTGAATGAACAGTCATTCTGTGACACATGCGGCGCTTCATTTTTCTACCAGACATTTAGCCAGTGACCAAAGGCAGTGCTGAACTACTGCAGGGCCCTCTTTCAGGCCTTTTGCTACAAGTAATATCCTCAGTACAAAGAGCACCACTTAGGAAAAGTTGCCTTAGTATGAGTAAATGATGGTCTTCTGGTCTTCTACAGACAAATTCTGACATTTCTAAGGCTTTTTTTTTTTTTTTTAAATTTAAACCTTTCCCAAAGCTTAGTACAGAAATATCATACAATGGAAACCATATAATGGTCAAGCAACAGTGTTATTTCTTTGGGAAGTGTAAGCTTTCTACTCTGAAGCAGTCTGTCTCAGAGGTTGTGTTTAAATTGTACTTTTCAATATTATTCAACAGGTGGACAATTTAGCATTGCATTAAACCTGTGTGTCAGTGATGTCCTACACAATTCATACACCTAAGAAGAGAATCAACAACTGTTAAGTTGGAGCAGATTAAAATAAAAGCAGGATGAATGTTTGCTTGTTCTTAGAAACCAGTCAAATTAAGACGTCATTTTGAAGCTTGAAAAAATCTGGTACTGTTATTTTATGCTTTCTGGTTTCCACAAGCACAATACTCTGATTTTCTCACAACGTTTTTCTCCCAGCCAAAGCTAAGAAATTATGGGAATCTCATTAGTAATCCTGTTGCGTTTATTGTGAGATTGCTCATCAATTCCCAAGAGTTAAAACATCACAAAAGCACTCATATTTTTCTCAACAACTCCATTCTGAAGAGTATATATTACTCTTCTTCCTCCTTACCAAGCCCTTTTTAATTTTCCCAGATCCGATGTTATCTTACTGTTGTACACGTCAACTGGGGAAGGCAATGCTCATTGTTTTCACAGGGTCAAATCATGTCACAAACTGAGTCTGCTCCCACTGAAGTTGTTGGCAAACTCCCATCAAGTGAATGAGGCAGAATCAGCCCATGGCCTACATGGCTGCCCCCTTAAGTTTATGGGAAATTCTCAATCTGAAATCACACGCATCCTTTAAACCAAACAGTTGTTGAGCACTTATTTGCAATTAGCTGAATGAACTTAGTAAAATTTAGATCCTCGTATAATGGGGAAACAACATAGTGGAAAATAACATCTCGCTCATGAGAACTAGGCAACGACTCGCACTGCCCTTGAGAATTACCTGGGTGATAGGTAAAATGCTGGGGTTGGCTTCTTTTTCTTTTGCCATTGATGACATAGAAATTCACCTTCACAGGTGTGCGAATGTGCTTGTTCCGGTACTCCGGTATTTCTACAAAGAGCATGCTCTGAAACAGCGAAAGGGGACGGAGCAGCATTAGTAACTGAGGCCAGCAGCAGATTGTTGCGTGCAGCTCCCCCATTACATGCCCAGGGATCGAGGAAGGGAAACCTCCCAGTTCATCCCAATAAAGAACATTATGTGAGGAAGAAAGGAAAAAAGAACAGATGGTGAAAAACAGGAAGACTTTTGGTATTAGCAAATTGGTTTGTATGCACTGTATCCTCTCTGGTACTTGATGTTATCCTCAATTTGCAGGCAGAGATCTCAGCTACAAATAAAAGACACAGAACGGGTGCTTGATAAACAAATAAGTATTGTAGATTTCCCTCTTTGTGTTAGGATAAACTTGGTTATTCTATAGGTTTCTTACTTACAGCCAGATCTTGATTCCATGGAAATTAACAGTGAGTGCCCCATTCTCTTCCACAAGGGCAGGCATGGCCCATGGCAATGCAAGTGCTAGCTCCTAAATGTGCTGACCTACTACAGTACAGTCCCAGTAGCAAAACGAACAATGAGACTCATTCCCTTGAAAGACCAATGTTAATTTTAAATACTGTAGTGCAAATCCTGTCCTGCACTGTACAGTGCACCCAAGACTTCCACATAGGCAAAAGGAAGTCAGGACAGCCAGCATCCTGCAGAGGACTCTTTCAAAACTGGGCTGATACAATGGTGTCTTCTGCAAGAACACAAAATCTAGCAGTTATTCAATTTGCTGTGGGTTACTGCTAAATGAATAGTTTCTTTCTGCAGCACATCTACTACTGAAGCATTTGACATTTGTGCCTCACAGCAGTCAGATAGCAGCTCTTTCTGTTGAGACGCTCTTTGGAAACTACCCCCTGAATACAAGCTGCTGTCTGAGAAGCACAAGGAGAGGACATCCAATGTTTTGCATACTTACAGGCTGGCTCTTATCTTTATCCACTGTCGCCTCCATTTCCCAGATCTGCTGCCCATCTAGAAGAACATTACAGTATTAACCTAACTGTATCTTTTTTAAATCATAAAGCTTAGGAAAAAAAAGCAACAGATTAAGGGCAAAGCTCTCAAAATGGACTTCATTTCAGCCAAAAGGCACAGCATTTAATTTAAATACATCATTGAACACTTCTCTCACCAGGAAAAGACTTAAGTATTAAAATTAAATGTTTATGTAGAAATTAAGCAAACTGAGGAATGAAATATTCCACACAAGTGCAACATCTGCTTTTTAGCAGACTTGATTTCAGCCAGCTTGACTGAGGGAGGGCACCAGAAGGTCAGATACCTCCTTAATGGTCACACTGGGTCAGGGGCGCAGCAAACTTTAAGTTTAAACCACACAATTCCCCACCAGTGCAATAGGACAGCGTGGGTGAGGAGGTGAAGGAAAGCTTAAGCAAAAATTCAGCTCTGGTGCACAGAGACTGTAGCATGCAAAACTGAGTGACTTCAGGCTGACTTCTAAAGATGCTGTACTGTGAAGCTGGCAGATGCTCTGAGCATAGGTTTTTTTTCTAGGATTAGTCCATCAGGGACAGATTCTTGATGTAACTGGGAAGTCAGCTATCGAATCGCAGAATCTCAGAAGTTGGAAGGGACCTCTGAAGATTATTGAGTCCAACATCCCTGTTAAAGCAGGTTGCCCCTGGTAGATTGCACAGGAAGTTATCCAGATGGGTTTTGAGTATCTCCACAGGAGGCTCCAGAATCTCTTAGGACAGCTGTTCCAGAGCTCTGTCACCCTCACAGTAAACGAGTTTTTTCTTATGTTCAGATGGAACTTCCTATGTTTCAGTTTGTGCCCACCTACCCTTGTTCTGCTGCTGGGCACTGCTTGAAAGGAGACTGGTCCCATTCAATGGACTCCCACCCTGTAGATATTTATTAGCATTGGTAAGATCCCTTCTGTCTCTTCCAGGATGAACACTTCCAGTTCTCTCAATCTTTCCTTGTAACAGAGACACTCCAGGTTCCTAAACATCCTTGCAGCCCTCCACTGGAATCTCCCTAGAAGGTCCCCATCTTTCTCAAAGTGGAGAGTCCAGAACTGGACACAGTACTCCAGGTGTGCCCTCACCAGGGCAGAGTAGAGGGGGAGGATGATCTCCCTCACCCTGCTGGCCACACTCTGTGCAATGCACCCCATTGGTACCATTTGCCTTCCCAGCCACAAGATCACACTGCTGGCTCATGGTCAGCCTGGTGTGCAGGGCCTTCTCTGAAGAGCTCCTCTCCAGCAGGACAGCCCTAACCTGCATGAATGCAGCTGTAGGATCCCTACACTTGCCCTTACTGAGCTCTGCCGAGCTCTACAGTTTGTCTAGGTTTCACTGAATGGTAGCACAGCCTTCTGGTGTGTCAGCCACTTCTTCCAGCTTTGTATCATCTGCAAACTTGCAGAGGGTGCGTTCTATCCCCTCATCCTGGTCACTGATGATGTTGAACAAGACCAGATGCTATGCAAGATACTTGACTTCTGTTATACATGCCTTCTTACTATATATACTTACTTCTTACATGTGCAAAATAAAGCTTCGGCACATGATAATAACAAATAAATCTCCTCTGACAAAGGAACAAGCTTAGTACCTTCAAAAAAAGAGCCTCTTATCCTTCTGAAAGTTTCATTTTAAAATGAGTAGCGGTGGCATATACAAAATATCACGCTCTGAAATACCGCAGCCACGGAGCTGGCGTCTGCATTAGAGAGGGAGGAATTGCAGGGTCCCCTCCTGCATGCCCAGGCCTGGTAGCACAGCATAAAGTCTCATAAAAACACTTCTTCTCAGAGGACTTGTTATTTTTCCTGATTCTTGGAAATGCTGCAAAAGCTGCTTTTGTCCTCTGTTATTTAAGTACTTCTGCTTCTGGCAAAAAGGGAAATGAAAGAGTATTTTTAAATGCGTTTTGCATTTCTTCTGTTGCTTTCTCTTTGTTCTCCCCTCCACAGACATTGAGCTAACAGATGTGTCCAGCTCTCAGGGTATCATCTCCTCGGGAAGGGCTCATGCTGCTGCTCTGCACCGTGGCTGCCCGTTGCTTCAGCCCCAGGGTCCCAGCACGCCCTGCGAGCCCAGCAGGACCATGCCTCCCCTAGCACCCCCTATCCAGGAAACCTCAGCTACATTCTGGCCCTGAAACACTCACAAGGAGGAGGGTTTCCCTGGGTGTCCACAATGTGCCCCTTCTTCTCTTTGACCTTGCTGGGTCCCCCTGTGTTTCCCTTGGCTTGCTGCGTTTCTTGCTCTCATGCATACACACACATCACCGCTGCAACGCAAAGTCCAAACACCTCCCTCCAGCACTTGCCACAGCACTTTGTTGCAAGGAAGAAACACAAAATGTTTCTGGCTTCTTCTCTTTTCAGCATTTCAAGTCCCTCCCCAGCAAGTCAGTTGTCTCCTCCACGCTAGCATGCGGATTAGTGACGGGTGGCAGGGAGGAGATGGCCAGAGCAAGCGGAGTAATTGGAGCAGCAAGCTCTCGTCTGGCTGCCGTTAGCCCTGCCATCCCAGAGGACCGCTGTGCAAATGAATGGAAAGTATTCTGATAGTTAATAACAAGCATTTGCTTTGGCCACTGCTCTGGGCTGTTGCAGGTTAAATCTATGCCCCTATTAACGTAGCTAATACTTTACTATGGCTGCAACGGTAAACGCATTTGGGGAAGCGGGAGGCTGCGGGTTTAATCCCACAGATACCAAATGCATCATCTGATGACAAGGCAGTAAATACTTAATGGGGGGATTCCCCTTTGAGGTGAAAAGAAACCGTCGTAATAGGTGCTAAGGAACCTTACCACAGACGCCAAAACAACTCTAAAGGAGCAATTTTATAGCCCTCTGAGGAAAAGAGGCGGTAAAGGGAAACAGGAAGATACGAAACAAGAAGATGTGACATAAAAGTCCCAGTAGAGACTTGCATTAGGAATAGTCTCAGCAATGCAATACGAAGATGTCCTGACAAGGCTCGCCAAGTGGGAATACTTGACACTGTTCTCCCTCCAGGCAGTATTTTCATCTTTGTTTCTATGCTGTTAAATTTAAACAGTCTGTGCAGATGCAACATCACTGATTTTGCATAGAAGGTAGATATCAAAAGGATTTGTCAGTCCAAAATGCAAAAAATAAAAGAGAAATAATTCTGAAAGTCATCTGCCATGCTCATGAGGCCTGTGGAGCACATGTAACCACAATCACAGTTGATTTGATTTAGTAACCCAGCCACTGAAATCGCACTAAAAGCTAATGAAGCCAGCCATAAAAATCAAGTGATGTTTAGGCTGAGTCCAAAGTCTGGGGAGAATAAGAGCGAAACAAAGCCCAATTAAACAAGAAATAATTGTATTTGAGGTTATCTTTCTAACAATGATCTTTCTAACCTGTTTGGATATATTAAAGCTTGCAGCAGCTAAACAGGATCTGTCAGCAACATCAATCCCTGTTCTTTAGGCACCACAGCCCTGTTGAAGATAAGCACTCTACAGCTCACTTGCTGACCTTAATGCTTAAATTCCAATGATATGGCTCCATCTGTCTCACACATCACTTCCATGGTTGTGAATGCATGAACTTTACTTCAAAGTAATCAGTATCTTGTTTCCTTGTGACCCCTGTGGACAGGCACACTACAACGAGCTTTTGGCATATGCTGTAAGGCAAAAACTGCAACAGTGCAAAAACTGCAACAGTGCGACGGCATCATTTTTGCTGAAGCATTTTGAAGAGGCAAGGTGCAGAGCTGAGTCAGCAGCAACACACACCATGCAGAGCACTGCAGGACATCCCGGTACGAGCACGGCCCTCGTGAGAGCTCAGTGTCAGCTCCACGTGTGTGGTGCATCTCAAATTCAACCTCCCCAGTGGGGAATTCAATGGGTGGCTCTGAACGGAGCGGTAGTTCCACTCAAGATGATAAAATACTTTTGGATGTAGACCCTGAGGTCTTACCAGCCACGGCTGCCTCGTGCAATATTTTTACTGTTGTGGTTCCCTGCTCATTTAATGGTTTGTCTTAGTTGGCAAGTCTTTAACACCACAGGTCAGGGAAATGTTCAGGAAATAGAGATTTTTGTGCTGCTTCAGGGTTATGAGACATAGCATTAAACCCCGATGAGAGATCCGATTGTGTCAGCACTCTTTGGAGGAATGAATGAGTTGTTGGAAGAAAGTAACTCTACTCTATCTAGCTCAAACTGTGATCATACCAAAAGTCTTGCTTCAAACTTTGGGAAAATCAAAACGTCAGTCTGCATTAGGAACATTTTGGGTGATTCTCTGCAGCCCCTTATAAGGCTTTTTATAACTAGCCAATTAAAGGTTTCTGAACCAGTTACAGCCTTTACACATTATTCACGATCCTTTACTCATGACTTTGGGGTCAGTAACTAGCAGAGAAACAAACTTGCTGCTTTATTTGAACAAGCATGACTGATGGACTGAGAGGTTCAGGAAATTTTCTTTGCAGCTCTCTCCAACTGCAGACTAAGTGCACTATTGTGCCGATTCTGTACAGGATCCTGTGCCTGCATGTGATTTTATGCCTGAAAATGTACATTGCTTTTCAGTCAAGCATTACACAAATTACTTAATGAACAACCTGTTACCTTTTTCCCAGGCAGCAAACCATGCGAGTTCCCTGCAGAAATCGAGCCTGGTAGCTAGCGGGGCAGCTGCCCTCTCCACGCATTTCTGCAGTGTTCCCTTTGGGCTTGCAACGAATTGTCCCAGTTCAATGTGTTTCTGGGAAACTCTTCCAAAAACACCCAACAATTACCTCTGTCAAGTTTTATCAGTACACAACAGGCAACTCTGGAAACAGCCCAGGCTTTTAAAGCCACCTCAAGAACAAAGCAAGTAACAAGGTTTTTCCAGCAAAACAGACATTTTTGGGATGCAGAAACCTTACAGACCGGGGAAAACACGCACAAATCTCCTGCTCTTTTTGAGGATGAATTCTGCTTTTAGGTGGGAAGTT